TTTTGGTATCTTATAGTTTGTTCATTTGATGCTCTCGTTTTATCAAACCAGTTCTATTTTCATGCATTATAGATAGACGTTTACCACGTGCTTCCATTCGTATCGGCAAACTGGAACTGGTAAGGGCACTCTGGCCTATTTTTGAATGCAATGGAACTGTTTAGAATTTCGTGTTTTGTTTGTAAAGGTATATAAGAATATGGCATTGAATCATCCACTTCAGACAAATGGTTGACAATTATTCACTTTCCGCTTTTCTCTGGCGCATCATTTATGTCCTGAACACGCATTTTTCCTTCTGGCAATTGAAAGGGGCATTTTGGGCTTTGTTCCTTTTTCGAGTGCACCCTTGTACAATATTGCTCAGAAATCAGCTGATAGATGGTGTACATGATTTAGTTATCATAAATATTGGCTCTTGTTACATAATATATGTGTACTTAAACTACAATCTCTTTAGCCCCTTGTTAACCAACATGTATCAAATACACTCTTATCATTCCGCTTGCTTGTACCGATTACGATATACACACAGAACATTATCACTTCCATCCGGGGAAATCATTTAAATTCATTTGCTTTTTGACATGGTCGTTTCGTATATTCGGATTTCACATATATGCATTAGTAACTCTCTTTGTCGTTTAAATACCAGAAGTATAATTCATTGTGCTATGAACAGATTATAATGTTTATTTTTTTCTACCTGGTATCTTTTTCGACACTAATGGACATTGCTGTCTTGTGAGACGTCTAACTGCTCCCTTGATGGATCACTGTCACTGTGATAAAACAATTTAGTTCGGGAATAGTATGTTATATAAATCGCCACATGAACCAACCATATTGAAATTATGTCAATCCCGTCGTTACAGTTCAGTTTGATGAGAAAATATTACTGACAGAGACCATGGTGAACACCCATCATCTATCATTATCAGTTATTGAAGCGTACCAAGTTAGATCTTTAGATGTAATTGAATGTTACAGAAAGACTGATTGGCTTGCGTACTTCACACGTAACCCAATAACTCGTGACGTAATCCGTTTTGTTGTACGACCACAGGTGAAGTGTCTGAGCCTTGTCTGTGATTCACGGTCGTTTGTACGGGATTATCACGTCAATCAAATAAGATAAACTAAAAAGAAAGGATAACCGTAGTGTAATGAATCGGAATAGTTGACGACAGTTTTCTGTATCAATGAGGACTTAAGAAATGACAATATCGTGTGAAAAGTTAATGCTGTCAGACTGTGAGTTTTTACTTGTAGGCATTATTGGGTTATCTGAGAAAAATATTAACAAAGTAAGTCAATGTATGTTGTTTTTTGAGAGCTTGTTTAGAAATTTTTAATACTGTTATTTAAAATATTTAATGCATCAACATGTTATTTGGATAGTATTTCCGTAGATCATTGCTCCCATAAACTTTAATACGGAATCTTTCAATCTTTTGCGATAAAAAATCGCGAGTCAAATAGCAGACAAAGTTATGAAGGCACATTTGAAAATGATTACTCAAAGGCACAGCGTCAGTCAAACATTAATACAAATCTCAAATTATCACTTATTAGCCATGCCTTAATTCTCTTTACTTGACATCTCGTGGTACTATCCTTGAATTCAAAGCAATATCTTGCAATTTGATTAACTAATAATTTAAGAGACTCTTCTGTCGTTTTCCATTGTTCATAATAACTAGAATATTGAACGTAAATTAATAGTTCGCCGCACATTCTCCTTGTGTGCATGTTAGTGTTAAGTGAGTGCATGTTGCCTTTTTTATCATCAGATAATATTGATCAGTAGTTAATCATTAAGTAATTAAGAATTCTGCTGCATCGGAATGCAATAAACTGATGATAAAGTTATTCTTTATTAAAACAGGTTTTATTACATAGTTAACAGAGTCGGACTAAGCCATAAGATATTAATCAATAGAGATCAGGGTGGTTGAAACATAACAAGTTGCTATTCAACAGAAGGCACTGTTACAGGTTATTGAACATGTCAAAAAGGAATTGGAGCAGTTGCATAGTCCCAAATGGTAGTAAATTGAGATTTTTTCGCTTGGATGGTAGTAAACCTTTCCGTGATTACATTAGGAGAGGAAGCAGTAGAATAGCATTTTAAGGGCAACGAAAGGGTAGTAAGTTATTACGAAACAAAATAAATTGAAATGTTATTTCTCTATACATGAACTAGTATATTGAGTCCTGTCACATTGCTATATGTATATGATACAAATTCTAGCAATTCTCCAGCGATTGGTCAGATTGTCAAATATGCCACCAGTTACTTACCCTAGTTCAGTGAAACAATTATTTTATAAGCTTTTGTGCCTTCAGAAACCCTTTTCATATCTTAAGATACCACCAATGGCATCGTATTCATCCCCATTCATACTTTTTCGAGATACGATGCCATCAGGGGTAACCTGATATTTGTATAATTCCATTGTAAGATATTTCAATACCTAGTCTAATATCGTGATATAGTGTAGCTGTTGAATAACTAAATAAAACACAATGTCTGTAGGCTAGTGATTATTCTGGAGAATAATGGTTCTTGGTAGTTTTAGTAGATCCTGTGTGCTGACATGAACATTCCTAAGTCAGGGTTAAGCCTTATCGCAACTATTGGCGCAGCCGTAAACTAATTAAAACTGAGCGCTTCTGGTGATATACGACCCATTAAAGTTAATCGGATAAGCCGTCTTAAGCTGTTTAGATCCGGATTAGAAGACAATACTGGGTATTACGCATAATCACCATTTCGAGTGCTCCCAATATGATTTGGAGTATCAGTCTATCGTTGCTAATAGAACATTGTGAACCAATCTAGGTTCGTGATGTTGAAGGAATTTCTAACGGTTTATTTTATATTTAATTGATAAAGGTAATTGTACTCAGATTTCTACAGGTAATTAATTATCTATGACTTGAAGAAAAGAGACCGATCTTGGTATTCCAGCCCAGGTGATATATAGGTAAGACGGATCGATATGTCTATTCAGTTTTAATGTCTCTCTTCAACATCACACCATAGCGTGTCAGGGAAAGAATGTTTGTTTTCTGAAGTTACAGTTTGGCATAGATTTATATCTCATAGTAAACGAGGCGATATTTGGTTTCTGGGATCCTTTTGGATTTGAGAGAGCTTTTCATTCTTGGAGTTGACTGAAGACTTGAGAAGATTGATGAGGTATTTAGTTTACTTTTTAAAGACAAATTCCATTAATGGATTAGGTTTTGGGTCAGAAAAAATACCAATATAACGTGTTAACTCTGAAAGTGGTACCGAGCTGATAGACTCTGTTACATTTAGCTTCAAATGCTCTGAAAGTTTCAAAATCAATTCATGGCTTAAATGGTGAATATTAGAAAATGGTCCAGTGTTTTTTTTTTTAAATAAGCAGGTTGTTCTAAAACGAATTTACACATTGCCCCACCTCTGAAAATGATTTTTTCGTTTGACCTGTTAAATCTTCAAAAGTCACCATAGTCCTAGAAATTGATAAATAGTTCAGTCTAGATTTTTATCGTGTAAAATGTTGTCAAAGTGTCCGAAGTGTTCTATAGCCAGAACAGTGGGAACGTGTGAACAATTAATATTTCTCACCTACAGACCTCATTATCACCTGTATATCGTGAAAAATAGACGAATTTATTCTGCGATATAGAATAAGGTGTAAATTGTCACTACTGAGACTTCATTTGCGTAATGCATTATATGACAGAAGACTGAAAAACGGTAAATTAAATTCGGAAGATATTAGAATTGCAATCTTCGGGTATGAATAATAGATCCATCACGGACAAAGAACGAAAATTGCGGATTACTGTCGAGATTTAAGCAAGTAATTTTATAATATTGAAATATTTGGTCACGTTTCCCACGTTACAAATTTTTCAGCTTTTTCAATCTGAAGCTCATTCTTAGAGATTAAGCAACAGATCTGCAGGATCCACGGTTTGATACAGTGTCCATCAATGGCATTACTGAATATTTTTCTATAAGTTAATCGAAACAATTGGAAATAAAAAACATTTTTTCGTGATGCTTTTTAACTCATTTTCGACGAAAAATGTAAATGCTTGAATTACTGTCCTTCATGATTTCAATAATTTCAAAATTCAACTTTTGACATGAAACTGTCATTGTGAAATCATGTAGAACTGTGATCGAGAAATGACAAGATAGATTGACACATGTCAAAGCTGTTCACTTCTCTATTAGTTAAATCAAGATAGGGTGACGTATATCTTATCTTGATACATCTTTAAAGTCATGTTTGAGATTAGTTTAAATTGATTTTAATTAGTTACAAAGGTATTTCACTGAGGAATTCAATAGTTTTGGATTCAATTCTCTTGTTTTTAAACATCCATGGATATGCTTGTAAATCTCTTCACCATTTGATGTTTGAAACGCCCATTATAGTTATAAATTATATCTAAGTAATGTTTAAAATGTAAACGTTGTGTTATCTATTGTGATTTGCTATATAATTTTCGTGTCATAGGGTACAGTCAAAAAAGAAAAAAGAAAAAAAGAATGATGTATAAATTGCATTTATATATGTGTATACATGTATCAATTTGAGAATCTTGACATCAGAATCGCCCTAATTAAAACGACATCATGATAAGAACAGTTTTGTTTTTACGAATCTTAATCATCACTCGTCGCCATTTAGCCCAAAGTGACTTTTGATTGGTACGATAACAAAACACGCCCTGAAGATTAAAAAGAATATGGCTGACACACGAGTACGAAGCTCAATCAATTACACTATGGTAGTTGTGGTGAGATTTGTGTAACAGTTTATCGTGAAGTATATCACAGTATAGCGAAGAGCTCTATTTAGGGTTTATTAAACAAGTATGCCATTTATTTTACTTACAGTCTGAAGTAACGACAGGTGAATAATATGTATAGGAATTAGAAGAACGACTAATGAAGATCTCAGAGAATAATTACTATATTTACTATAACAATGACTGGAATAGGATGGATTATAATACTTATATCATGGATTGTGTCGGCGTTTTCTCTTACAAATGCAGGTAAGTCATTACATTAAATATTCACATAAGCTGTTTTAATGAATACAACCAGATTTCCGAACTTTCAGTTGAGAAGCAAAATCGCAAATTGACGTTAGGTTCAAGAAGAGTAATTTATTTAGACAGTGGCACATTCTGCTGAAGTTATCATGGAATCATAAGTATCAACGAATGTTTGGTGTGAAACTATGCAATCACTAGGCCAATATCTAAAATGTATTTTGAACCACCAAAATTTCTCATGTTAAAACAAATGTTAAACACGTACGTTTTTTTGTAAATGAGTACGACTCTTATTGACATAATATTAGGATATCAGTCTCAAACTTCAATATACATTGTTTACATTTTGATATGCAGTATAATGCTCATAATGCAACTATACACTATAATATATCGGGTTACAAGTTGTAGATTAGTGTCAATGTAATACCTCTATTTATTTTGATGATATATGACATGCTTATTTCGATAACAGGTCATATTTATCACTTTGTTTCGTCAATTTTTTTTCACCTGGGTTTGAAAAGGTTGAACAAACATAACTAATTCCTTTCATAAACCCTGAATTCTTTTAAGTTTGAGGAAAAAATAAAGTTCTCTGAATTCTCAAAATTTTATCAGTCAATAAGGAATAGAGCAGTTGAGCTCAATACATGGCTCAATATAACCTTTCAAGGGTGAGTTCATTCATAATAGGAAGTACGTTTCCAAATCAACACTAATCGCGTAAAATATTGATTTTTGATGACCAGAACTTTTAACAAACGATAAAATAACGAGAAGGTAATATTTTAGCCCCCAATAAATCTCAACCATAATTTAGTAGTTTTTAAATCTCAACTACAACAAACAAAAGTGTTCAAATTCGTTCTTTACAATCTGTTGTAAAACAGTGAAAAGAAAATCGAATTACCTATTGAATTACCATACAAATTCAACATAAAAGACACGATTTAATCTTCAAATAATTCAATTAATCAACTGATTTAGAGTTATCCCTTCCTTAGCGAATTACACACCAGGTGGCGTGGAGGAGGATGCGCTTTAAATCTACCACCCTCTAGCTATTTATTATAGCAACGAAAATGAATACAATAAAAGGGAATATTTTGTGTCAGAAAATACAAAGGTTGTCAACCTTCTGACATCTTCATTTTATTTACAATTTATTGAGGAGAGCAAGTCATCTTTTAATACGTTTTAAAAGGGAAGCAACTTGATCTGCTTAACGTCAAAGCGAAAGTGAAAGTACAATATTGATATAATGAATTAAAGTATATTATAAGTTAAGCTTTAGGGTAATTAATCCAAGAATCAATATTGACCTTCCCCTAACTTAACTCTTAATGAAAGAGTAATTATAATAGCATGCCCGTACTACCAATGTTTAATGTCTGTATGCTAACAATAGACAACTACAAACATTTCTAAAACACATGAAATCTGATATTTCGAAAGAAATTCAACTTTAAACCAATTTAGCACCTCAACAAACTTTTTAGGTTGTTGGTTTACGGTGTATGTGTCAAACATTGAAGGAAATTTAAATATTGTTCTTCATGCTATGCTGATGGTGAAAATTAAGACTTGACGTTGTCAACATTCATTTAAAACACAATACAAGAACTATAAATTGACAGTTACAGTATGAAACTGAAATACACTGGCTGTATGACGTTTCACGGTATGTAGTTTGCACATGAGTAAATGAGTGCTTGAGTAGTCGAGACAATTTTTCGACAACTGCCTAGGAACCTTTATCATCTGACACCACGACTTTCATGCGTTCAACCCGAGAGAACTATTAACATCTACTCAATCTGCTCTGTATTCTTTATACTGAACATTGCAGATTGTTACTTGCTTAGATTAACAGATACTTAAAAATGAATTTCTTTCCAATTTCAGGTAGCCTTTATAAGTTGATAGTACCTAACACCTATGTGGCCTTATCTGGTGATTTAATGATCAAATACATCCTACCAGGAAACGTTTCCTTGCCCAATGCCTTTATACGACTCTTTCACATTAATGGTGAGAAGCTGCTAGAAGTCACCAACTTAGCGTTACCACTCGGACGTAAGGAAGGGGAACTACCAGTAACCTGTGGTATAGTGGAGTTTGCTGGTCGCTACGTAGCTAAGATGTACATGCATGATGGTGGAACAATATTGACAGAAACTCAGTTTGATGTGTCTTGGCCGTCCATTCATTTAACATTACCAGATACTTACACAGCTTTGACTACCAGTGTACAGATACATATCAGATCTTCAGCGCAGTGTAAATCCTTGTTACGCCGAGGAAATTTTTTAATCGACATTTACCACGAGAGGCAGCCTGTTTCAGATGGTATTGAAACAAACACATCAAATCATATCACAAATTTAACCATAAATGATTTTACCAAAGACTTCGTACACGAGTTTCCTTGTAATTATTTTGACGTGGATGGATCTTATCAAGCCGTTTTAAAATCAACTTTGAATTCTGGAACGGAGGTTACACGTAGTAATATCATGACGACCGGTTGGAGTGATAGCTATAATTTGAATATCCGTGTAGACAGTGTTTTTCCTTGTCCAAATTTATTCAAAATCATTTATACAAGGCCGTCCTGTCCTTCTAAGGATAAAGTCAGGATGTACATGTTACAAAGGCGAGCCTCGGGTTCGTTAGCATCACCATTAGAACGGAAGTACGTGTTAGAGAGAAGAATTAGTCCGGATGTGACGACATTGAGAATACCTTGTGGTTTGTTTAATAAAACGTCTGCCGGATATTGTTTTGTGTATGTCAGTGTTTCTAAACACGGCGAAGTTCAAGAACAGAAAGAAGTTTGTTTGGCAGCACACCCTGATTCAGGTTGGTGTTTAAATTTGATTATTTCCCCGAGTTATATCAGACCCGGCTATACAATTTGTCACAACCATTTCAAACAAATTTTACACCTTCTCTTTCTCCAATTGAAACAAAATTCATATCGTTGAATTGTTTTTCACTATTTATGATTGCAGAGTAATCAAAATCGTATATATAGCGCCTCGTTAGTATTAGAATGTTCATTTCAATAGCACTAAAAGGTACCACGTCCTGACATTTTATGCGTGTAGAATTGAATAGTTATATAGGAAAGCAATTTACAAATGGGAATATTTTAAGTAAAGGCATTTTCAATTAGGATAATGAATTCCAACTGACATTAATTGGAGCGATACACTTTCAGCTTGACTGGTCAGTAGTATAATGATCAGAAGGTTTCTGTTATCAACTTACCTTTATAGAAAATCGATACTCTATTCTGTCTGACCATACGGAATTATTGAAGCGTGTTGCTCTATGAGTGCACCCAACCTTTAATAATTCAACAGGCTTTTTAATGATTTGTGACATGAAAAGTATATTAGAACTCATTTACAACATCATTATCAGTAACATTAATTGAGATCCAACTGTCAAAACTGAAACTGTTTTGCAGTTCAACAAATACAATGCCATACCATGGTTTATACTATGAAATTTTCAATTAAATTGAGACAGAAATTGACAAGATTGAATATTACGACTAAAACATTTGAAAATGTCTAATCTGATTAAAATGCAGATCTAGATGTTTACTTGTTTGTTTTTCTGCTGGTTGCTATACTTGTCACCCATGTTCTGAGTATTTCAAATAGACTAGATCTTTTACAACATAGTATTCGCTGATTGAATATTAAATTAAATGAGTTCTATAACAATTTCATCAGATCACTTACAATATATAGTATTGATAAATACACATTTACATTTAGTCAGATTAGAAAAAGTCAGTCGTAATAAGCCATAGTGTGCATGCGAGCGTTTGAGATATACATGTACTAACTGATAAGCTAAGGGGTTTCACCCATACCTCTGCATCAAATACTAATCGGCGGTAACTGTCCAAAGCAGCAGAAACAATCGCAATCCTTCGCATTGCAAACAATATTAATTCAATTTTGCGAATATAGATTTTATCATGTTTTTTTCATTCATTCTTTCTCTATTTATTCAACCATGTCGGACATCTGTTGGTAAGTGTACGTGGACAAATGTTGATGTTGTTTCCTAAGCAGTTTATGTTATCTTCGTAGTTGCTTCATTTATGATTATTCTTCAGTTTCATTTCCTTGCATCCCATTTCGTTTTAGTTGCCTGATTCCAATAATCATATTTCAGAGTTTTTATTTTGTTCTTTATTTTGGCATTTGTAGTGAAAGCTTGAAATATATTGTATGTTTTATAAATGAGTTCAAAAGTTGTACTATGGCTTTAGATGTAGTGGATAAAAGCAATTTTTGCCTGAGAGGATGGAAGTCATCAAAACAAAAACGATAACAAACTGAAACTTTGCAGAAATGTCCTTGATATGAACCACACATTGTAAAGATAAAATGTGTTGTACATAACATATCTAATTAATTTTCATGCAATATTAATCAAAAGTAGACTCTCGTCAGATGATTTCCCTTTATACTGCAATGGATTATATGAAGTACAAAATTAACAATATCAGGAACTAAATATTGACATTAAAATTTAATCAGTCCAATTTTCATGAAATCTGAGTATTGTGTGCGAATATTCCTTTAATACCTACGATGTTTAAAACTGCTTGTCTGTTGCAGCTTTACCAATAGATGGAGGTTGGAGTAGCTGGTCCGAGTGGGGTCAATGTTCTAATTGTGGTAATGGCAAGAGGGGTAGACACAGATTATGTGATCAACCAACACCATTGCACGGTGGTAGATTTTGTAAAGGCGAAGCTTTCCAATGGAAATCATGTTTTAAATATTGTCCTGGTAAGTAATTGCTAAAATTTCGGAAATCTCCTAATACGACTTGGATTTGTTTAAGAAAAAGATGCTAAGTACAACGTCTTAATTTTTTTTCTTTTATTCGTCTTTGTGATCAAATATTCAACATATTGATTACGTTCTATGGCCATTTTCTCTCTCTACAGACCTGTTAGATAGGAGACGATTGTGATTTGTGGAAGGCTGATGATGTTAAAATGTGTATCCTCTTTATATATATTGATGTTCCGTGTTTTCCAGATTGGGTCCCAGAAACACCATTAAAACATATCAAGATTGAACCAAGTTGTAAATGTGGTTGTAACATTACCGAGGAATCAGGAAAGATTATTGGAACTGGAAGGTGTTCTGGTTCAGCTGTGTGGCACATCAGAACAAACTTAGCTAAAAGAATTAAACTGACAATGAAATATATTAATCTGTATGGAGACCATCAAGTGATCACAGTGAGAAATGGTGATAATAGACAATCTGATATCCTTTATTCGTCCACAGAAAATACTCATATTCAGGATATATATTCCACAGGACAATCTTTATATCTAGAACTTTTATCCAGTATTTCTAGTCATAATGAAACTATAACCAATAAAACTTTGCCTATATATGTTCATGGATTTATAGCAGCTTTTCAAACAGAAGGTAATGATCAATTATCAACGAACTGTTGTTTTTATTTTGGATAATTAGAACATAAATCATGGTTTATTAATTTGATATTTACTACATATTTTGTTTGATAAACCTTAAAAAAGGAATATTTACTCTACCAGCTCTTTTGTGTCATATTGAATCCTATAACGATTTGTTATATTGAATTTTTCAGCAGCACTACCAAGATCTTCGTCCATCACAAGAAGAAAACTGGCGTCTTTGTTAGACAGTTCAGCAGCTATTTTTGGCATTGCTTTATGCGGCGTTATAGTAGTGTTGGCCCTTGGCTTTGTGGCATTTCATAAGGTATTCCAGAAAAAGCGCCATAAATACGCCAGGGCAGGAACCAGCAGCCCCGTCAGGAGTTTAGGTAGTCATGGAAGTATAGTGATCCATGAAATAGACGACATTCAAGCTCCGTTAACAGACGAACTTAAACGGAAACAAGTGACGCCTGTGAACGGCGTTTCTAGAAAGTCGTCAGTAGGTAGTGCATGTAGTACGGGTATAAAAAGAATGTGTACAAAACCTGATATTGAATCCGCCACGAACTCTTCAAATATCAGTTACACACCCTTAGTCGGTGCTAAAGAAACTGTGGACGTTCATAAAAGCGATAGCACAAAAAGTCCATCCATTAAAAAATGGACACCAAAATCACCACGAAGTCCGAGCCTGAGGAAATCGCCCAGAATACATCCGTCCCCTAAATTAAAACATGTGCCGAATATAAATCTGAATGCCTCACCGGGACCTACAAAACACGAACTTTTATCTCGGAAAAGACTGGATGCATCCAAAAGTGAAAAGAATCGGACAGAACTCACTCCTGTAAATTGTTCCGAAACGCGTGTTCTGCCTATAGTTGAGTTCCATCCACAACCGGCGCCCGTGGCTCAACCTGAAACGATCTCGTTGGCTACTATTCAAGATAAAGACGATTTAAATAAGAAACACAAAGTTAAGAAGGAAACGACATCGTTTATCCAACCAGAAAAATTAGAAAGACCATCCTCGCTTACAAGTAAGCCGACATCTCCACTAACTAAACCGAAAACTGAGAATAGTAAACTCAAAACGGAGGATAGTAAACCTAAAACGGAGGATAGTAAACCCAAAACGGAGGGAAGTGAACAAAAGGAATCTCTAGTCAGTGAAAGAGACACACTTTTACCGAAACCTGACGGACAAAGTCCCAAAGGTTATCGTGAAGAGCATCCTCTATTGAATAGTCCTAGTTCTTCGAAACCGAGTAAAACTAGCAGTAGCAGTCGAACTGGGAGCAAACTTACATTATCATCACCAACTCATAGTATAACCCCATCAGAGATTGCTGTGGAAGGTTTAGAACTGGAATATGATGACTTTATTGACGATGATCCTCTATCATATTTTGATTATGAGGAAATGCAACGATTAAAGTGGCATGGTGCTGAGAAATTAGATAAAACGGTGAAAGATGATGATTAACCAAATCATCTTTGGTAATTGTCCTCTGGTCATTATGGTGCTAAATTTATATTAATATTTGATATTCATAACATTTTAAATGTGGACTCCGTGAACTTCTGTAAGAGCCATTCACGAGGAAATGTAGGACGTTTCGTTCAACTTTAATCATTAATTAACGACAAAATATTATGAAATTCTCCGAATATCTATATTTGGGTACTTACCGAAATAATTTCTGGGTCATTAAAATTTGTTTAGTCTTTTAAGCCAATTTTGAAACGCTTCATCATTGAGAAAAATATTTGGCTATCCACTTCTCTTCACTTCTACTATATATGTTGTATATTTATTATTTTAATGTTATTGTCAAATGTCAAACATTATTTTTGAAGATATTATAAGTTGTTTTGTTGGAGAGTGTAAATCAATTGTTATGAATTTATAAAATTCTAAGAAAGTGGATAGTTTTTCTTTCTGGTACTCCAATACGATCGCTTAAGACTGACTTGTAATGAGAACTGTTTGCTGTACAGCTCTGAAACCGGTAAATGATGTTGAGAATTGAAATGGGAGTAGCCTGTTAAACAGAAAGAACCTTCCACTCAAATCAAATATGTTCCTGATAGAATCGCTTTTCATAGTGCTTGAATGTATTTATAAGGAATCGCTGCAGTTAAGCATAGAACTTCTGGTTGATTCCAAAAGTCATTACTAGACAAGGTTCACACGGTTAACTGTTCGAAATCTTGAAATCGATATTCTCTCATCGTTAGTCTCACATTTTGTCTCATCATTATCAAAATATCCGTGTAATTTCAGGCTTTCAATCCTCGATGACAGTCTAAACCTGACATGATTTACTACTCCTTCCATATTTGGGAATGTAATGACACAGGAAATGATGACGTATAATCACACCGTAATATCATTACGTTTTACTCACTTCATTAAAAGAGTAATTGCATATGATTCAGTCATAAATCAACCGCCTTTGAAGTGACGGTATGCTAGTGATGATTTGATTAAATTGATAAAGGAAAGTGGTTGAGCTATTAAGTTGTAGCTATAAGGTACAATTCGCACTCAGTGGTCCGAGCCTCTACATTCTGAAAGATATCAGTCCATAATTGACAAAAAGTGACAGTCGTACAGACATGAGCGACAAAACAGGTTCGAGCCACAGAGGGTCTGTCGTAAGAAATGTAGCCCGCTTCAGCAAAGCCGAAAGCTACTCCAAATGAATGATCAAAGTAGGGCTCGGCGATATTGGTTCAAGTTGATCTCACGATATGGGTATATATCGCGATATTTTTAAGTTTGTTTTTTACTGGTTTTTGAAACAAAATTATGATCTAGAAATTTTAAATGTAACATAAAACAATAAATATCTTTTAAAACACTTCAACTGTTTCAAACATCAAGTTACTGGTTAAAATTTTACGATATATAATGATAATAACCATATAACAGGATATGACGATATTTCGGTATTTTTTAATCATGCGATATTACTAACAATATAAATTCCTATACCGGTATTTATCGTGATACTGGTATATCGCCCAATATTTCGGTATTTTTTAATCATGCGATATTACTAACAATATAAATTCCTATACCGGTATTTATCGTGATACCGGTATATCGCCCAATATTTCGGTATTTTTTAATCATGCGATATTACTAACAATATAAATTCCTATACTGGTATTTATCGTGATACCGGTATATCGCCCAGCCCTAACTCAAAGCCATATAAACATTCATGTTCTGATCGTTTCAGACCGGCATTACGTTTAGTTCAATACTTCCATTAAGGTTACAACCTGCGACACTACAAATCTGTTTTCATGTAATAAAACACAAAACCAGTCTGCAAACATACAAGTTCAAACGAAAGAAAGCTTCAAACATTAGACGACTTCATAGTTAAATTAAAGAGTCTATTCGATGCCGGGTGTTTCCTATTCTGAATTTATTTTCAAAAGCTTGCGATGCCACAAGACTTTCACATGTTATTCAGGTTGTTCCAAGTTAGATCTTTGGGCTTGGTCAGGGATTTTTCCTTTTTCAACCTTGTCAATAATACAGCTTAGCTTATACTTGATAAAGTGTATTTTGTTGATTACTAGAATTTTGTGCAATTGAAATTTCATTCGTCTCATACACACAATTTCAATTCATTAACAATATCATGTTCTGAAATTTCAATTTTATTTATAACAGAAGTCGGATACATTTGTACATAGAATAGCATTAGCTATAGACGTTAGCAAATTCAGACACTTTAAAGACGTAACACAATGGAATGAACGTGCATACTCTATGGAGTTTGTAATTGGTTCTGTAAGCTGTCTATTGACCAATTTCTACAGCGGTCAGTCTTTGATTTTAATCCCTACCAATTTAAATCGCCTTAAATATCAGCAATGTCACGTATGAAGACTATCTTTAATGATTCCAATATCTAGAAATTCCATTAAAATTATCTGGTTTCCATGGCAATATAGTAAACAATGGCATTTGTAGATTTTCTCTATGTCTTGGGTACAATCGTTGCCTATTCTTACGTTGATGAAAAATAAACCTTTTCCTCAATACTGTTGAGAGAGCTGTACTTTTTTAATTGCTAAGGCATGTTTCGTGGACACAATATCTGATATAATTAACATATAATATATACATATAGTTCACTGCCTATCACAATTACTTGCATCGAAACATCAACTGAACAGGGTATTTTTATTCCTTTTTTTTTTTTACAGAATCCACTATTCCGAAACTTAAAGCAAATGGACATTAATTTTCTCCGTCTGTGAGAATTGTCAAATCTACGGCAAAAAGCACAGATCTTGGGATCTGCTGTACAGACAAAACAAGGTTTTTAAAGAACATATTTACACCAATAGCTACATAACAAAATATAATGTGACAGCCCAAAATCCCAACACTATTGCTGGTACTAGGCCAAAGAGGTCTATTTAATAATCTTAGTAACGGTTTAATTTTAAATAAAAATGCTTCAATTTGCCGAGAATCTATAGTCTGGTATCAACTGTCTGGTATCAGACTCCAAGAGTTCTTATTAGCCTGCAGTGAAGTATCACATTATTACTGCTAAACTAATAACTATATTTCTTTTGTACTGTTCTGTCGTTTTGTCATCAGCCGAAATAGGGCCCTAATGACTAATAAACCTGGACCACAATTACTCTTGTTACTATAATTAAAATAACCACCGGTCATTTACACTCGTATCCAATATCCACTGGACATTACTACGTCAATTTACTTCCACTAATGACCATCGTCCACCTGTCGACAATCGATTCCACATGTTAAGTGTCCATCATCGGATTATTCAAGGAAAATGATTTAGTGACGACTATTTGTTTTTGGTCGAAACAGAAAATACATGGGTACAACATTGTGTTACTGCCCTGCCCTACAATACATCAGATCATTTGATACCTTATCACCAAGTTTCGTAGAAAAATTTGGCGTTCTATTTACAATACCTATTTCATAGGTGTATGAGATAAGTTTTCATCGGTTACTAGCAAAACAAAATATTTTTCCTTTAAAGGGATTGTGAAGTGGTTTTCTAACAATAAAAAAATGTGTATCCGACCATTGCGGTTCATTGCGACATACAACCATTACATGTTATTGTGTTGTACTTCGCTGTCTTCTTGACAGGCAAGACGGATTTTCCGACATACAGCGTCTCGTTTGGATTGAACAATATTCCGAGGCCTATATGTATTTATTGTTGTACAGGTTAATGGCATCGGTTACTGGCACATGTACTCCGACTGAATACGGCATGGCGATGCCAATCGTGTAGGAATATACAATTCTTTGAAAACCTAGTTCTTTCTGATGCTGAGCCGACAAAGTAAAGACAGACATGAGAGCCTACAAACAAAATACATTAAGTGCAGTATTGTCGCCGAGAGTCTTATCTTGTCTAACTAGATCTAGAGATAGTCTCATCCTGTTTCAATATAATAAAACATCTCTACTATGCTTTATATTAATAAAAACATAAAAGATGCATTAAAATGATAAAATACCGGTCTGTTTATTGATTAATTAAAGATATGTTTGTTTGATTAATTGTTGGCCCAATAATCATTATCATCATCAACAACTTCTTAAGCAGGAGTGTAACCTGGATGGGAACTGAAGTTCGATGGTGAAATATATCTAACATTACAAAAGATATAAATATTCGTTTTTTTCAGTTTCCAGAATTTGATATGCTTAAGTAGAAAATGAATTCATTTTCCTCAAACAGTTGATATAAAAAAACAATGAGTGGTCAACCTTTTGTTATCCTTAAATAGACTGGGTATACTTAAAACTTTTCAAAATACACTGGTGTGTAATATATAACTTCATAAGAAAATTACACGTCACAACTTACACTAGCTAAATGATGTCAACATGTAAAAAGGTATTTGAAAACAAGAACGTACAGTCATATATTTAAAAAAAAGGTAAAAAGGGAGACTACTTGAGTGATATATAGACCAAAATGATTTGGGTAACTGATATAAAATTCTTTTCTCAGTGCTTTGACAAATATTAACTTACTAATACCCCCAATAGGCCAATTTTAACTTACTTCGGTTCATTAATTTCAACCGACTTTTATAGTATGATGTTGTATCATAGAGCATGCTTATTCTGTACCTTATAACTTTAGTAAAAAGGTTTCCATTTCCATTCCAAATGATGCTGCAGAAACTACTTGCTATACTTGAACGAAATGTAGATTCGTGCTAATTGACCTAATTAAGAAGCCTGCTATCTTTACAAACGAACATACACTTGACATCTGCCTTGTGATTCAATGGCAACAATGCGCTCATTGCCCTAATTTCAATTTAAACATTCTTTTCAGAATTTTAAGCTCTCTGGTTTCTTTTGAAAATAGCATAGCCTGATTTTGTCAGCTTCATACAATTGTGATGTTTGCAGAACGACAATGATTGAAAGAGTTATTTCCCATCGGACAAATGATATCAAAGTCATCTTCTGGAAAATGCCTTAAAGAAATAAACATTACAGTAAGAGGAACGTTTAGGCGTTCACATGAGACAATAAACAGAGACCAGTGTGCTACAAGCTGTGTACGTTTAAGATCCATCGACAGTTAGAAATCGAAAATGCCGCAGTCCTGGCAAAAATTTCCCTCATAGCTCTCTTCATGGCGTTGTCCGTCTTCATTAGCCCACATGATGCAGAAAGTAAACATGAACAAAATCAGTCCATCACATTTTCAAGCAGAAAAGTAGGACGTAAAACTCCATTCATTTCATTTGTTCCATTGAGGAGATTAGTCAAACCCTCTTATGACTTGAACTTGTATACTCTTAAAAATGTAAAAGAAATGAAATTAATGGGGTTTTGTAATTTGTAATGGATTGGTTGTTTTTATGTTTTAACGGTACT